CCGCGGTATTGACTGCCTCTGCCCAAAACTTATCTACCATTTGGGAATCAAGTAGGAGGGCGCGGGACTTAGTGACAATTGTGCGAATCATTCTTTCTGCTACCCCATTCTTTGACTGTGTATATGGTGGACTTGGTTCAAATGATATTCCACATACACGTAGAATACCGCGAAAAAGAGAGTTGTCATACTCTCCGCGCCCATTATCACAACGGAACCGCGCGATCGGCCATTGCGGAAATTGCTTGTCAAGCTGCGCCTGAAGTTCCTGAAATACTGAAACAACTTCAGTTGAGGACTTAGTTTTCAGGAAATAGACCCATGTAGTCCGAGTATAGTCGTCAATATACAAGATAAAATACTTGCATCCTGAGTGTGAAGCCGGTACAATCGGTCCGCAGAGATCTGAATGCAGAAGCTCAAGTGGTCTACTTGCGCGAGGAGCGGCTTTGCGTTCAAATTTTCTTGTATGCTTCGCTTTGATGCAAACTTGACAGACCTCAGATTCTCCAGTCTGGGATCCTATTGAGTGGATAGATGTTGTGGGTATAAGCATCTTCAAAATCTCTTTGTTGAGATGGGCGAGCCGTTGGTGCCACAGCTCTAGACTAGGACAATCAGTAATACTAGTATGGGCATTGATCTCCTTGCCTTGAGTTTGCAAAGCTAGTATCTCTTTTGGGATCTCGATATAGTAAAGCCCGTTGTACAGCTTTGCTAAGGTATACTCCGTATTACTTGGTAATCCCAAGTAACAGGTCCCATTTCGAAAGCTAATATTATAGCCGCTTGAGAGTGATCCAACCGAGAGCAAATTGTATGTTAAATCAGGCACATACAAGGCCTCAATATTTAACTGATAGCCACTGAGATTTAGAGTAACCAGCCCAAAACCAGTAGCAAGCAGAGGAGAACTATCTCCTAGGAAAACATCTTTTGGGCGATCCAATCGCTTTAAATCTCTAAACCCATTGCGATCGTAGCACAAGTGGTGACTGGCTCCAGAGTCCACTATCCAGGTACCTTTATCCTCATCTGAGTACCTTTTCGCAGTTCCAACAAGGGCCCGCATGG